TCCATTTACCATTACCATTTACGTGAGTAAATGTACCAGAGACATTCCACCACTGATAGGAGCACTGAAATTTCCACTAAACATTATTTGCTTGTTTTCTCTCCATATGCAGTTGTTACCAGTGCAGTTCCACAAAGGAGAGCATGGCTTTGACAATCAAGTTATGGACATGAAGCCTTTCTTCAGGGCTGTGGGGCCTGATTTCAATAAAAACATGGTGTCCACACCCTTTGAGACAGTTAACGTGTATCCCCTGATGTGCCACCTACTAGGAATAGACCCAGAAATCAACGATGGACACTTGGACAATACCAAACACATGCTGGTCCCAAGGAAAAACACACAAGGAAACAGTAAGAAATATTCTGCTGTGACATTCCAGATGTCAATTACTTGTTGATTTATCTTTATCTAGTCAGTACTGATTAACTGATGCTTAGATTCATGCAGTATTGAAGGTTATACATAAAATTTTATTAGCCACTCGATGTCCCACTGGAGCAACAGCATCTCAGACGAAAACAATGGGACAGAAATTAAATAAACTCAATAAACCCATCTTAGTCTTTCCACAGTCTTTCCAACATATGAAAAAATAAACCCATAATATACATATATTCACCAGGTTAGATGAGAAAATATTTGTGAAAAGGGCTGCGGATCTAACCTGACTGCCCCAGATGATTTGTTACACAGTACCATCTGGTAAGTTGTTGATGGAAACTGTTTGGAAAAGGGCAGACACTGAGAAAAGCATTCAGTGCCATTCTTTGCTCTTCTTTCAATGAAGAAATACACTCTCAAGTTCTGATATAACTAAGTCATCAAAATAGTTTGATAGGATCACATAAAAGCTGTACACATATTGACTTTAAGTAATGTAAACTGATAAGGAACAGATAAAGGCAGACTTTTGACTTGACCTGACAGAAAACCCCATTATCACCTCTCTGTGATTGAGACAGCAGATAGAGAGGCCATATACTGTACAAAACAAGATAGCCAACACTGCAGAAAGTTAAAGTGGGTACAGTAACTGTCGAGATAAGAGATCTCAATCATACTGATAGCCATTAGCCGACTGTGATCACCTCATCTTACAGGCTGTATCACTTTATCATTCACATTTAATGTAATTTCTTATCAGTAAATAAAAATTTCTCAACATACAATTTGGAAGATGTAACAAATGAAGTGATCCAGTCTTCTCAACTAGCATTTGTAGTAAGAGCTTCATCCTCTCTGTTTGTGTCTTTCCTTCTAATATTTTTCCATCTGTCTACAGATCCAGAAATGAATATCCAGTCCCAAGCAGTTGTGGGCTTATCAGCAGTGACTGGGTTTCTGGTATTGGTGTTCATAGTGACCACCTCCTATACTTTGTACAAAAGGAACAGCACAGAAAGGAGGTAAAATGCTGTAATCATAACATTTCTTTATCAATTTGTTTGTTGCCCTAAAGCCACCCTTATCCTGACCAGTCCTTCAACATCCTGTTATCTGTCTCACACTACCTCTGTGGTCTTTTTTCTCTTTCCTCAGTTACAAACCAGAACATGCTGCCGGTGAAGAAAAGATGAAGCAAACCAGTTTTTGAGAATTCAGATTGATGTTTGTGTTTTTCCATGTATTCGTTTCCCCAATCTAGTTGTTCCATTAATTATAAATATGAAATCACAGTACAGAAGGACTTCCTGATCAAAGGTCACTATGAGTAATTATTGCCATGTCCATGGAGATAATGATCTGGTTGGGGATGGTTTTGTTTTGTTTAGTTTTTTTGTTTGTTTTTCAATTATACACAGGGCAAGAAACAGATTCTTAATATTTGGTATAGATCTAAGTGTTTTTTAAGACATTTTAAGATTTGGTACATGTATCCCAAGATCACTATGTATATTATTTATATTCATAAAAATCACAATCCAAATGCAAGTTAAAAATGTATTTTTTTTAAATTCACCAATTTACCCAAACATGGCTTTATCCTTTCAGTTTGCTCTATGTCAACTTTGCTTTTGCGGGTCAGACAGAGAATCAAAGCTCTACTCTGATTAGCTCTAATTCTAACTTGATATTAAGATATTTTTTGGTCTTTTTATGCCATTATTTGATAGGTCAGCCAAATATAGACAGGAAAGGGGTAGGGAGGTAAAGGGGTCAGGACTCAGTCTATATGGGGTGCGTGTTCAACCAGGTGAGCTACCGTGTGCCCCCTAACATTTTTTCTAACCCAAACCATCTCACACATAAAACTACCTAACAAAGGCAACAAACACAAGCCAATCAGAGGCAGAAAAGGTTGGGTCTTTGCGGAATGTCAGCTGTTTAGGGGTGGGTACTTAGACTCAACAGGAGGTGGTATACACAATAAGAAGTAGGGTTACACATGTGGACAAAAATCAGAAGCGGTGGTACTCAGTACTGGTGAGTACTGGCCCATTTCAGGTGCTGCAGCTAAGTAATAAGAAGGTAATAATGTGTAATAATTATTATATCCTGTACTAATAACGGAATTTCCCTAAAACAAAAAATGTTACTGATGAGTAATCTTACTATTCATGTCTTTTTCATCAGAATACTATCCCACTTTAATGCTACCCTCATTGTTGTGTATTTTGTAATTGCTCTGCCATCAGCAAGTGTTTTTTTCCCATAAAACTCCCTTTATGGACAATGTCAAATTAGGTACTTTATTTCTGTCCCGCATAAAGAAATAGATAACTGCACCTCCGACATGCTGATTATAGATCTGGATAACAGTGTACGCGCATTTACCTTATTTGAATTTATATACGTGCTGATACTGCATTACAGTTCCAGCTGGTATTCGAAGCTGTCACACTCACATAGGTTTATGGGTTGAATATAATAGTTATATTGTCCTTTGTTAGAGCCAGTCTTTAAAGCCTATATGTCATTGTGAATTCAGCTACGAACACAAATTAAATGGACCAAAGATCTAGAAAATCATTTTTGTGTAACATGAACATTTGTTAATACTCAAATGAATAACAGAGAGACTTATGACTGGAGAAGAGAAAATGTGGGCAGTGGGGCAAGAGAGATGCTGAACCATCATCACTAAATTAATGGAGGTATTTAATGTAAAGTACTTTACGTTCTTCTGCTCTTTGGCTGTGATCATGTTGGACAGCTACCAAGGTCTAATGTGTGTAACTGAGATTATTTCAATACACAAACATGTATAATAAGATCAACAAAACCAAACACATTTGGGAAGGATATATGTATATAGTGGAGAATCATTTCAACTCTAATTTGTAATGGATGATGATTATTGCACAAAGGAAAGATGTCTAAAAATGTGTAAAGTCCCCTCCAGTCCAAAATCAGTGTTTCTTTTTGTTGCTACAGTGTGATGTTTGAATGATATATGTGCAGTGGAAAGTTTCTCTGTACTCATTGAAAATCAGATTTTAAGGGGCAGGACCTACCAGCATGATTTGTGAC